CAATTTCAGGAGCTTCATGTAGTCCTAAAATACAGGCAGAGAGGTCTATGCATTGAAGTTACATAGTGGCAGGAAAAACCATCAGCAGTGATGGCTCTTTATAAACAGAGATAGAAGAAAAAAACTAAAAATGTGATTTGGCTGAACACAAGTTATACAAATTAAAATTATTTGTGAGAACCATTTACTCGGGATTGATAACTTGATTGATATCAATTGATTATCACATGATTATTTATGATATACACAGCCGATAGAGGTTTTGTGGTGTTATTTACATGAGTAAACTTTGTCCATGAATGTTCAGCATTTCATGGCATAGAAAATATGGTTATCTTCTGGCTTTAAAAAGGGCAAGGAAAAATCTGTTATCAACAGATTCACAGGCAGTTAAGAGGTTTAAAAAGTGAGATCAGTGAATCACTTCGGGAGGTGGACGTCAAATGGAACTCAACGTTCACTTTTAATGGAAGAATGAGGATAAGAACAAGACCAAAGTTGTTTGAGGAATAAGGAAGTAGCAGTGCGGACTCATGTCAGAGAAGGTAGATCAAGAGAGGAAGCAAACACGTGGCATTGACTACTATGAGAGTATGCAGCCCTTCAGCACAGGCTTAGATATAGGCATGTGAGCAAGAGAAATAAGACTTTGACACAATTTTCCCTGTTATTGATAATGAAAACTGCTATTTCTATCAATAATGGCTAAAAATATTTTTCTTATCAGCCAAAACCTAAAAGTTAGGTTTAAAACCTAACTTGCCAGCCTACCACTGTAGTCAGCAAAATTATTAGGGTAAAAAAGAAAAGACAAGAATATTTATTTAATGTAAATCAGGGGCTACCAGCATTAATAAAAATTAAAAATCAACATCCAATATATTTCTCTTATAAATACATTTGAATCATCACTGTCAATAAGAAAATGGGCTTGGTCTCATGACATGTGGAGCTACCATAAAGACACCTCCATGTAATTTTTTCACTTAAGTACACTACATATTGGGGTATTGTATTAATCAATCCATCTGCGCACACATTCCAATTCCCTGCAGTCAGGAAGAACAAATAAAGGTGATTTATTTTATGTTATGTTTTTTCTCATTTTTAATTAAAGTATATTTGGCATATAATATCCTACTCATTTCAGGGGTACATCATAGTTATTTGTTATTTTTATACATTACAAAATGATCCTCACTATACATCAAGTTACCAAGTTATACAAGTTATACAATATCACTGACTATATTCCTATGATGTACATTATATCTCTATGACTTACTGATTTTATAAATGAAATATGTACCTCTTCATCCCCTTCACTTATTTTGCCCATACCCCATCCCACCCTCTGGAAACTGTCAGTTCATTTTCTGTACTTGTGAGTCTATTTGTTTCATTTCTTTTGTGTTTTAGATTCTACATGTGAGTGAATTCATGTGCTATTTTTACTTTTCTGCCTGACTTATTTCATTTGGCATAATACCCTCTAGGTCCACCCATGTTGATGTGAATGGCAAGATTTTGTTCTTTTTATGGGTGAGTAATATTCTACTTTGTATATATATAACTCTTCTTCAACGTT